GTTTGCCCCCCAGTCAACTCCAAAAAGTCACGTGATTGATAGTAAGCAATAGATTGCAACTCTAATATGTGCTATTCTTTTCCCTATTTTCAATTCTCAAGGTTCAGAGCTCACTGCCTGTCAACGGAGATACCAACATGCCATGAAACGATTGTCCAACAAGTTCGACCAACACGCGCCTGCGTGTAAGCCTGATGGAAGCTATGATGAGATTCAATGTYATGGTCAAACTTGCCAGTGTGTGGATCGCAAAGGCATGGAGGTGCTTAACACAAGGATGCAATCTGTTGCTAGGAGACCAAACTGTGCTCACCCAGGTAAATCGACTTGAAGATATTTTTTTCAGGGGAGGGGAGGGGAGAAGGGAAATGACAATGGAGATAGGAACCCATAAATAAACAAAAGCTGTTACAACAGACCGCTTTAGTTTGACTGTAATGTTTTCCCATTTCTCAATCATGTCATTTTGTATCATAGATCATAACCTGTCTCCTTGTGAAAAGGCTCGTCGAGTTGCCATGACAACAGGCAGGTTTGCTCCTCGATGTCAGCCAGACGGAAGCTGGCAGCTGATCCAGTGTGAACACACTACCAAGGAATGCTGGTGCTTAGACGACAACAATGCAGAAGTTAAAGAGACAAGAACTAGTGGCCCAATCTCGTGTAGAAGTACAGGTATGTGGCTTTGTTGGCCTTTTTCATTTAGCATGGGATCTCATGAATTTYATTACCTTACGTACTTGCTACTCTTTATTTTCACTGTGTCCTACGCAGTGGCTTTCTTTATGCAAGAAGCGTTGCGTTAAGCAGCCAATGAGAGTAAGATGCTTAGAGATTAACCAATCACAAATAAGTACATATATATATTTACGTTGCTGATGGTCTAGAACAAGAAATCTGTCGCTGATTCGCAGACGAACCTAACCAACAGTTTGTGTTATTTCATTTTTTTACTGAGTTGCATGTGGTACCTCCCCCCTCCCCCAGCAGCGGTGCATAACAAAGATTAGGTGTTAAATAAGCTCCAGCATACCCGCACATTGGGCAACCCAGTGCACGCTCCAAGAGCGTCTTGTTTATTTTTTTATTTTAGAGGCTTTCATCACGCTTGACTTACAAAGGAGAACAAAACGAAAACGACAACAACGAAAAAACAACAATAAAATACATTAAATATGAAAGCTAATAAGCGTGATGAGGGGCAGGTGAACAGACTCGAGGTCCCGGCGAGTTGCACGCAGGCCAAGTTTATAAGACTTGCAGTCGTCGTGATCAAAACTATAGTAGAGTTGAAAAACCGATAAATTATTTTCAATTTCAGCGTACTGTGCCTTAAACATTTATCACTTTTTCTTTAATATATACCTATCGCGTTCCCGATGTCGCAGACATGTGATGTTGGGCACCGGAGTTCGCCACGTTAACCACTCAGAGTCGTTGTACAATAAGTTGGTAGTTTTCTTTATTCAGAGTTAACTAACCGTCCAAATGACTCACTTGCGGATAATACTTAATGTTAATTACTACTAAAGCTATGTTTAAGCGATGCGAAGTGGTTACACTTACGTCTAATCTTGTTTCCGCGGTTTTGAGAAACTATAGTATTTGTACTCCTAATTGAAAGTTGTCTCCACTCCATTGTAGCTCCACTCCGTTTGACTAGTTTACGAATCATTTTTACCCGTCCACACAAAAAAATGCCACACAGCGATCGCGCATGCGCTTATCAGTTTAAGCGCAAGCATCACGCAGCTCAAAACGCGTGCGTACGCCATCTTCGAAACGTACTCGATAAAGGAAACGGCCGTCCACACGAGGACACGTGAACGGCAGGCATTTTCAAAAATATCCACTTTGGAGAGCGTTTTCAAAAATATACGTTTACGGTGAGCGTTTTCATCGTTTTCGTGTGAACGGAAGGCTTAAGYGCATAAAAGAATGTGGGTTTAAGACCGAAAGCGTTTTCATTCGGACGGGGTTGTGCTGCTACAAGATATTGGCACCGAACTGACTCTCCCTATAGCACGCAGGAAAAACTAAAATGGAACCAACCGCAAGTAATTGCCTTTGGCTCTATTACAAAATTCCTTAGATAAATGATTTGTTAGTGATATAATGTTCTGATTAAATGTTATTGATATCTTGACATTACCAATGCAGATGCATTTACATGATGGAATCTTTTTTCTTGTTTTTCAATCACCAAAAGTTTACCAACTCTCTTTCCAACTCGTCTTCCGTTTTCCATGGTCGTCAATTCTTTGAATATTTCCATAGTTTCATGAAACTTTTTAGGGTCTGCAGTCACACGAAAATTCAATGTTTGTGTCATGAAGTCAAGCAGGTAATTCCCTTCGACCGATTCCTCATCAAATACTTCGGTAGCATCGTCAAGTGTATATTCTATGGAGACTCTCTGTATTTCCWGCCATCTTTTTTAACGACTTCAAGTACTTGATCAGTCGATATGGGTTCGCCAGTGGGAGAAAGATGACCTTGTTTCAGACAGAGCTTATATGAGATATCACCTTTGGCAGTCACGATACAAAATATCTTACCATCTTCAGACAGTACGTCGTTAAAGCATTTCAGTAGAGTTTTCTCGATGTCTACATAATATATGCTGTAAATAAAGTGAATGATGTGGCACTTGGTGGAAGGCTCATCTTCGGCAATAAAATCCCGTGGGGGGGGGGGTACTCCCCTATATTTGCTATACGGGTATGTGCCGCCTTATAGGGTATGGTTTTTCGGCTTTTGGGTCTGGGGTAGGGTATCATTTTTTGACATTTTGTCATTTTTTTGACGTTTTAGTGTGGGATAGGGTTAACGAATTGGTCATTTTTGTCTGGCGAATAGGCTACGCTTTCTGCCGGCATAAAAACAATAAAAACGTTAGTAAATATTGATTGCAATCTATTGAAAAACCGTCTTTTCCGTCTTTTAGTCTGGGATAGGGTGTACAATTCTTAGTTTT